ACAGCAGTGCACACAGTCCAGCAGATCCCTGGCTCGTGGAGCTTGTCCTCTGGTTGAGAGGAACAGATAAAGAAGTACAGGCCAGATGGTGGCTGTGCTGGGAAATAGCAGTGACAGTTGAACCAGAAGCTAAAGAGATTGAGGGGACAAGCATTCTAGGCAGAGGGAACAGCAATGACAGAGGCCCTGCAGCTCCACCCCTTTATTCTGTGACATCTGGAACATGGCTTACCCCAAATTCAGCATGTCCTCTCATCCCTCCTGGCCTCCTTGGCCTCCTTCCTGTCCTGTCCACATACCCCTGAAGTGAAGAGGCTGCAGGTCAGTCTTTGTGGATGATTGTAGATGGCTGTCCCAGGGAGAGCAGGCTGGACTGAGTCTGTGCCACTTCTAAACCATTTGTTCCATCTCCTCCTCCTTGAAAGGTATGTGGGGTGGTGTGGCAAATCTCAGTAAATAATGCATTTCCATTTTGACTAGCCGGCCTCATTTGCATAACCCAGCCAACTGAAACGTCGTTTTTCTCTGGCTAAGTTATTTATCACCTTCTCAGCGTTTGGCTGCAATAATATCACTCGATCAGCGTGGCCATACAGTAATTCAGGCATTTTGTTCTAGCAACGAAGACACTTATAGTTAATAACACATGAAGCCATTTCATTAAAAGGAAAGTTTTGTTAGGATACATTAACATGGGCTGCCAACCAAAACACAAATCATTTCATTCCTCGGATATTAAGGAAGCAAAATGAGTTAGGACCAAGCCACTTTTTAAAAGATTCTTTGTAATATTAATGTCATCAGACTGTCTTTGTCTTTAACTGTCTGCAGCAAAGGCATTGGAGTCTGGAGTTTGCAGCACTTGATTTTTCCCTGACCATGTGGCCTCCGCTCTGGGCAGCGTCGCTGAAGGCCCAGTTTGGACGTCCTCACTCTCCAAAATTTGATAGGAAAGTCGCCTGATGTTTGAAAGGGACAAGGCTTCATTGACCTGTGTGAAGGAAGGGGCCGTCCTGCCTGGTTGTTTCCATACCTGCGGTGTGCAGGCAAGCATTTGTCCCAGAATTTTGTGGCCCTCACGCCGCCAGGCTGCTCTGCAGGGTCTGCTCTTGCAGAGACTTACAGCCTACATCAAGTATCTCCCGCGAGGTCTTCCTCCTAAAATAGCCCTTGTGTCCGGGAAGCCTGGTGCTGCTGTGACAGCCAGGCTGGCCTGCAGCACGCGGGAGGTGTGACGAGCTCCTGAGTCATACTGATAGGGAGCAACGCACCCCAGGTTTTGTTTCAGTTCTTGAACACCCGCCCAAGAGGGTCATTGCCCAAACTCTGCTGTTTTTGTTGACAGTTTTTTGGAAGCAAAGGGGAGGCTTAACTGCCCGACCCACAGACAGTGCATTGTTTGTGTTTCTTCTCCCGCCTAGCATTTGACAATTAATTAGGCATAGTAATTACCTGCTTTAATTTCATGATTGCACATCCTATAATTACCCCTAATTCTGTAATGGGGAAGTTTGTGTACACAAAGGCAGATGACGATGAAGGTGATGGGTTATAATACAGCTACCGCTGCTCACTGCCAGTCAGGCGCAGCCTCCCACAGCCTCCCAGCAAGATGGGTGTTGTCCCCATTTTACAGATTGAGAAGTTGAGTCTTAAAGTGGAGTATTACCCCCAGAGTTACAGCTCGAAAGGGGAAGAGTGGGGATTGAACCCGGCCTCTCTCCCTCCACCGCCCATGCTGTTACTCCGCACCCTGCTCCCTCTCACAGGCAGGCTGCAGTGTGCGCTGGCTGACAAGCCTGCACCCAGCAAATGCTTAAAGCACATCTGGGACTTCAGCTGACTTCAAAGGCGTGTTTAACTCTTCATTCTCCCTCTGCCTGTCTTTACCCTTCTCCTCCTGCTCCTTCCCTCCTGCGCGCATAGATGCAAGGGGGAGTTTTGAAGAGGTGAATTCAGTAACCCAGAATCACTTGGCTAGTAAGAGATCGAGTAGGAATTCCAATCAGGTTGTCTGAGACTTGAGGCTGAGTTGACTCTGGACCCCTCCAACACAGACATCTGACTTCCAGTCAGGTCACTCATTATAGCTGAGTTTAGACATCGTAAGACCAGAAATTAGGATAAAAGTTCACCCTTCTGAGGACAGTGAAGGCATAGCTGTTATTTTTGCTTTTGAGTTTAAGTCCAGGTTTAATATGTCAGGTGCATAAATCTTACATGTATAGTTCAATTAACTTTTACTTCTGTGTACACCTGTGTAATAACCATTGCACAGAGATAGAGGACATTTGCAACACCCAGAAGGTTCTTTGTGCCCTTTTGTGCTGTGAGTAAGAATCATAGATATTCTCCTGTGTTTTTATCTAATAGCTTTATGATGTTAGCATTCACATTTAGATCTATGATCCCAAGAGATCATTGACCAAAAGATTTATAATCCCAAAAGAAATGGTATAAAAGCCATGTGCATAAATACCCATAGCAACCTTACCCATAATTGCCCAATTGGAAATAGCTCAAATGCCCATCCCAGCAGAACAGGTAGATAAATTATAGTATATTTGTGCAGTGGAATATTATGCAACAAAGAACACGGACAATGGATTCTTCTGCACAACGATACAGGGATATCCCACAAACAGTGAAAGAAACCAGACACAAAGCATTCTCTGCATGATTCCCTTTAGATTAAGTTCAAGGACAGGTTAAAGAGCCCAGGCAAGAATGCCCAGCAGAGCAGGTGGCTGTGTTGACTGGGGAGGGACTTGAGAAAAACTGTGAGGGTGCTCCGGTGGGTGTTCTTAATCTTCTCACTGGACTTTGTTCATTGTGACCTTCCCGCGCCCAGCTTCTACTTACCCCTGGTGCTGTTAAGTTCTGACCTCGGTATTCTTCCCAGTGGGATTGAAACCTCAAACCCCAAACTTCCTCTTAAAACAGAAGTTTTTCCCCAATTCCTGATTATAGATATTAGCCTCCTATTTCATTTTCTTTTGCTGAGTCAAGGAGATTGGACTTGAAGTGGATTTTTATTGCTTGTTTTAAAAGGGAACTTGGGTTTTGCCAAAGAGGTCAGCTCTTTGTAGTCCTCCAAGGAGTTTTTATCTTTGTGGCTCAGGCAGGAAGAATCAAAGCCTATCAAGCTTAATTTGGAAGAGGGAGCCCTTCAAAGTAAAACAGAGCAAACAACTTAACAATTTGGGGCATAAGCCCTTCCAGTTCTTCAGTGAAGTAAGTTCACAACTTGGTTAAGTGTCTTTCTAAGATAACAATTTGCAAGCAAGTTTCCCCTGTCAGCAAGTTTCCCCCTTTCTGGACTGTCCTAAGGACAGTTCAGGCCACTTAAGGGATTTATTGGCATTAGATTCCTGAAGGGAGAATGTGAATGAAAAGATGCAGCTGGAACATCTGGAACCAAGAAGATCATTCTGAGGACACATAAGCTGCCCCAGAAAGGGACATTTGGGCCTCAGAAGTATCAGCAGCTGCTGAGCCCAGTGCCAACAGTGCTGGCTCAATCCCCAGGGCCTTGGGAGACACAGCCACTACTGTGTCTGTGATGCAAAGTATTCGTCAGCCTGGGCACAAGTCCTTCACGTGCCTGCTGCCTCTGGAAAAATAAGGTGTACTCTTTGAACCCCGCCTGTGTCTCCAGAAGGAGCGTTTACACCATGAGTGTGAAAGGGAAGGCATAGGCGGGTGTCTGGCCAGTGTCCAGCACATGGTGGGTGACTCAAGGGTTAGTGTTAAGGGGATTTATATTTTATGGGAGTTCTGAATAATGTCATTTTACTCTCTTGGGTTTGGCAGTGGGTAACCCCACTCCTGGTGAATTTCTTCTAGAACCTCATCACAATGACAATTAGAGAAATCAGAACTGGCTCTGCCCCTCCCCCCGCCCCCCCCCTCCGTCCCTGACAGCAGAAACTGAGAACCAGGTGCTTGGGCTGAGGCCTTGGTTGGCCTCCAGGGCCCTCCCTGTTAGCCCCAGGCCTCCAGATAACATGGAGGCAGAAGTACCCATTGGCCACTTTTCACTATGGAGTGGGCCTCAGTCTAACTTAGATGCTGGCCAAGTGGGTGGTGGGCCATCGGAGGGAGCCAGAGACCTACAAATGAAGGTGCAGTGGATGCTCATCAGGGAAGAGGGCCCTGGGGAAACCTCCAGGTCGAAGGTGTGGGCAGGCGAGCTTGTGCCACGGGGACAGCCACGGAAGCTGGTGCGGGCACAGCAGGAGGAGGCTCAGCGATGGGCTTTTGAATGTGTGTGTTACGAACAATGTAGAGTCACGATTTGTCAGCCACATCAGAGATGCTAGTACTTTTAATCTGTTAAAACCTGACTACTCTAATCGTCAGCTTCAAAGGTTCGTGAGACGCGTATTGACATTTACTGGTTGTGGATTACCACAGCTATTTACCACGGGAGGTTTTACTCTCTGGGCTCATGTAATATTCTAAACTCATGTAATTTTCTAAAATGCATTGGCTTCTCCCTTGCTGTTTCCCCTTGTCATTTTGTGGCTGTGTGTCCCCGGGAGGTGTTAAGGCCTGGAAAAAGCTGATGAAACAGCTCTTACATTTTGTACCCTCAGAACATTCTCTCAAAAATCACATATTGATAAAAATAAAGACATGTTCTGCCCAGTTGTGCTTATCCCATCCGGATGTCATCTCCCTCCCTCCTCCCCCAGATCTACTTCTGCCCCCCCAGCGGTCTACCACTGCTGCCGGAAGCAGGACACTCAGGGGCGAAAGCCTTCTCTGGGATTAGTTGCTGGCCTCTGTAGCTCTCGGACAATGACACACAGCACGTGGTTCCCAGATGAGTTTGATTTTTACACCCCCGTGTGCCCCTTGAAGCTCAGCAGTGCCACTGAGCCCCAGCTCTGCGCAGGGAGCGAGGCGAGCATGGCCGGAGTCTTGTCCAAACCCCGCCCCTTTGTCCTGAGAGTGTTTAGAGAAAAGTTTACATTTTCTTCCTCTCTTCCTGACAGGTCTACATCCGGATAAAAGACGATGAGTGGAACGTGTACCGGCGGTACGCGGAGTTCAGGACTTTGCACCACAAGCTACAGAACAAATACCCTCAAGTGAGGGCCTACAACTTCCCACCCAAGAAGGCCATCGGAAACAAGGTATGTCCCGGGAGCACCCCTCGGCGGCTTGCTCCTTCCGTTTTTGATGCTGGCGGCCGTTAGGAGACTGTCCCCCTGACCCCTGAACCCTGGTTTTAGGTTGGCAATGGTCGCGGTGTGTGTCCTAGCTCGGCACCACCATCCGCGTGGTGATTTGTTTCTGGACGTCCTTTTCTTTCCCTAGGGCTTGGCAAGCTTATTCTGGAAAGGGCCAGAGAGTAACTATTTTTGGTTTTGTGGACTGTGGCGTCTCAGCTGAAAATACTCACCTCCACTGTCACAGCGTGAGTGGCCAGATGGAAGGGACACGAAGGGCCGTGGGCCTGTTCTCATTTATTTTTAAGACAGGTGGCAGCTGGGTTTGGCCTGTGGGTCAGTTTGCGGATCCCTGTTCTGGATCAAAATATTCTGGTTCTCGTCCATAGCTGTCAGAATATTTATTTGGACTTGGATGTGCAAGTACAGCTTTCTCGGGGAGCTGTTTATTATAGGGCACCTTTGTTCCCCCATGAAGGTTCATGATTTATAGACATTATTTGATTCTGTGTGTTCATGCAGGACCCCGGAGAAGGGGGCGTGAGCCCTCCGCAGGCTTGCTGGTTGACTGGCCTTTGTTCACTCTGCAAGTGTTTGGCGAGCACCTGTTACGTGTCCTGGTGCAAGGGGCCCAGCCCCGAGGAGACCGGCCTGGGCCCACGGGATTGTCTGCTCTCTCCTGGCATCCTCCCGTGGCCCGTGCTTGCTTGGAGTAGCTGTTCTCCATCTTGGCTGCTCAGTGGATCACTTGGGAGCTTAAACTACTGCCGAGACCCCCCTCCCAATCCCACCTCCACCCCGCTCCTGTTTTCACGGGTCTGGAGTGAGGTTGAGCCCAAGGAACTGACCAATTCCCCGGGTGATTCCAGTGTGCAGCCAAGATGGAGACGCCCTGGTTTTAGGTTAGCAATGGTCGTGGTGTGTTTACTAGCTCGACCGGGACAGCTCAGTCCCATAGCTGATGTCTAGACCCCTCTCGGGACAGGAGGAAATTGAACCTGGTGTCAAGTTCCCTGTCATGGGAATGAGCCCGTGTGGCCCTTGAACTTGTAAGTGTTTGGTTGCGCCGTGATTGTCTTCGATCCCCTCGTCTCTGCACGGACAGCCCCCAACTCAGCAGGTCTCAGCTCAGAGTCCACGTCCCCAGAGAGAGGCCTTTGCTGACCATCCTTGTCAGCCCTCCACTCTCTCCTGGCCTGGACTGTTTGAATTTTCTTCCTTACAGTTGCCATTAACTGAGTGACTGATCTCTGCACTGCGCGTTGTCCGTCCCCTGCCCGGGGCTGGCGTGAGGCGGGAGGCCCTAAGTGTTTCTGCTCTCCCAGCCCCTAGGACAGGACTTGATATAGCGGCAAACCTCCTGGCCTGGGTGGATGAACGAACAGAAACTAAATGGAGACGTTTCCCTTTTATTTTCTTTTTTTCACTGGGTCTCAGTGCAGATTTTAAAAATCTAAATTCCAAAGTGAGTGGAATAATTTTCAGGGTGACTTGGGGGGTGGTTCTCACTCCACTTTTGAGTGAATAGTTCTTGCAGACTGGGCAAGAGGCCAGTCTGTGGAGATGGGAAGTCGGCTCTCCAGCCATGAAGGGAGCTGACCTTCAATAAAAAACTCAGGGGAGCTTTTTCTACAGGTCATTCCCCCATGAAGGTTCATGATTTATAGACATTATTTGATTCTGTGTGTTCATGCAGGACCCTGGAGAAGGGGGCATGAGCCCTCCGCAAGCTTGCTGGTTGACTGGCCTTTGTTCACTCTGCAAGTGTTTGGCGAGCACCTGTTACGTGTCCTGGTGCAAGGGGCCCAACACCGAGGAGACAGGCCTGGGCCCGCGGGATTGTCTGCTCTCTGTGCAAATGGGCTCTGCCAGCATGAGGGCTTAGATGGCTCCCTCGGTTTTGATGATTCTACTAAAAGTCTGCATTATTGCTCAGTGAACAAATAAGAATTGTGAGCCTGTCATCCCTTCTTGGGATAATGGAGTCGGTCTCTCAAAGTTCATTTGCCATTAAGGCAGGCAAATCACTTTCCCCGGAGCCGCAGATAACTCAACTGGTTGGAGAAATTATGCATTAAAATCCTCATTAAAAACGCATACACCAGCCTGTGGAGGAGGAGCCGATGGGCTTTTGATGAAAGCTCCTTGGAAAGCTCCTTGGCTGCTCCTTGAGATGGGCAGATTTCCTGGGATGGCAGGACCCCAGAGACTGGTGATAAGGGGTGTCGTTAGCCACCCTCGAGAACACAGGGTTATGGTGCTAGGTGTTGGGGAGACAGAAGTTCACCAGTCACGGTCTTAAAATAGGCAGGTAAATTGTGCTCACAGAGGAGTCCTTGAGCGAGTGGAGGATCCCTAGGGAGTGCTGGTGATGCTGTGTGTGAAAGCGGTGCCAACCCAGGGGGCATCTTTCCTTCCATGCACCCCGTTTTCCCCTTACATCTTCCATCAGCTTCCTGTTGCTGCTGTAACAAATGACCGCAAGCCCAGCGCTTACAACTGCACGCGTGTGCTCGGAGGTCAGGGGGTCAGAAGGCAGCTAGCTCTCACTGGGTGAAAGTCATGTAGCACAGCCTGTGTTTCCTTCTGGAAGCTCTAGGGGAGTGTCTGCTGCCTTGCTTTTGCCAGCTCCTGCAGGCGTCCCACACCGCTGTGCTGACTTCCTTCTGTGGTCACATCTTCGTCTGACCACAGGAGTGGGGGTGGTGGGGCCCACCCAGGTAGCCCAGGCCCGCCTCTCCATTCCAAGGTCTTTAACATCATGATTCCTGCAAAGTCCCCTTTGCCATGTAAGGGAAATATAGCTCCCGGGAAGTAGGGCATGGCCATCTTTTGGGAGGCATGTTTTCATCTGCCACTGTCTCTCTCTCTCCACCTCTCTCCTTGCCCCGGGGTCAAGAGCTATGATCATGATCTCACTTTACAAATGACTGGGCAACCCAAAGTGAAGTGACTTATTTGTCCAAGGTCATCCTGCCTGGCAGTGTCAAGATGCCCTATAGGCAGATGGTGTGCAGCACACCAGCCACTCACACACACACACGCCTGCCTTGCAGCACGCAGACCTGGTGGAGCGGGAGAATGGAGGTGATTGAGCCACAGTCCTGCCATGCACATTTACGTGACCCCCACGGGCACTTATGTCAACCACGAATGGGGTCACCCATCAACCTCAGGCATAGGGCCTGGGAGCAGGTGGGGCCGGCAAGGTTGGCTCTCCCTCTGCAGAACCGCCCACCACCCACTCATGGAGGAGCCGTTTCTCCAGCCCAGAGTGCTACCCTCACAGTCAGTCGCAGGCTTGTCAGCCTTCCTGGGCAGCCGGCATGGAAGAGGGGTTCCCTCAGCTGCGCTCTGCCAGTTCTGAGGGTCAAAAGAAAGGTAAGAAACAAAAAAGGTTCCTCTGGCTGTGTGGTTCAGGACAAGTTATTTGGCTGCTCTGTGCCTTAGTTTCCCCTTCTGTAAGGCAGGATAGACATTACAGTGGTGATGTTTGCACAGTGCCCACAGCTGCTCCTGCATGTGCCAGTGCTGTGGCCAGAGCTGTGGCCAGTGTGTTGAACAAGAGCCAGCCAGGCCTGCAGAGTGATAGAGCAAGGAGGAGCAGAAGCCCACTTGTTTGTGTGCAGGAATGCCAGCCACCCTGTATCAGGCTTGCCAGGTGTGCCGGGGACCCTGTAATAATCATTTTCTCACTGTAAGTTCTTGTCCTTCCCCATATAAAATGTCTTACAGATGAGGGAAGTGGGCTCGGGGGCTGTAAGCACCTGACCCAGGGCCCGGGGACTGTCGAGAGTGATGCTGCCGCACCGCCTCCCCTTGGCCGAGGGGCCTCATCAAATCACACGCCAACCTGGAGCCAGGTGTGCAGTCACGAGATATCTCTCTGTAGAGGCACAGAAGTGCAGGGGAGTCTGCCAGGAGCACCCAGTGCAGACACCCCACAGATCCCCGCACCCACTTGGAACGGAGACTGGCGAGCTCAGGCACCATCCTGAGGCTGAGGGTTTTCTAGAGAAATCTGGGAGAGGAGAGCAGCTCCACGTTTATGAAGCCATCAACTCCAGCTTGTTTGTCCCTTGACACTGTGCCAGCCACCATGTAAATAGTCCCTGTACTTAATGTATTAAATGAGAAGAGAGAGCTCGGGGCACTCTACACGACAGCTTTGAGTTCCTCTCTAATAGAGGAGAAACCTCTTAGGGACATCTTCCGGGAGAGCAGTTGTGAGTGTTATCCTGCCAGGAAAGTGGTCTCAGGAGAGAAACACTGCCGAGCCCCAGATGCGTGTGTGTGCACACACATGTGCAGATGTGGATATGGGTTTGTACAAGGGAGCTCCTGGGAGGATTTTTTTGAGATCAAATTAAAATCCAGTCAAAAGTCAAGACCATTTTATAAACAAATAATTCAGAGCCAGCACCCAGACGTGTATTTCCACTCTGTCCTCATCCTGCACATCCTTTGCGTGGAGCACAGGATGAATTCAAGAGAATCATCTTGGGGTCTCAGGTCACAGTCCTTGTAGGTCCTGCCACCTCCAGGAAGCCTTCCTGAACTTGCAAGTGTCAGCTCTCTCTTGTCTGTGTTCCTTTCTCATGTTCTCTCATGGCTGCCAGAGGCCCAGCTCTCTTTCCTTATTACCCCGTGGAGTTAGAGAGCAGAGCCAGGCCCATTTGGTCTTTGCCTTGTCTGCATCTCACACCTTGCCTGACACAAAGTAGGTGCCCAGTCGAAGAGCAAATGAACTCAAACTCTAGCAGTTGGTGGTGACACCAGCGTGGTCAGCTCATCTATCCTCTTTTCCCCAGTTTCCAGGATAATGGCTCATTGAAAGAAAGATGTCAGGCCTAGTCTGCCCTCTGGATATATCGACACAACACTGGGACTATTTGCAGAAGGCTCTGTAAGGACTTTGCACATTCCTGCTAACAAGGATAAACCATTTGGCTCAGGGGGAATCT